TGGCAGCAGCACAGATYAAGGAGGGATAAGACTTTTCTGTGCTAGAGATTGATTTGTTTGAGTCAGAATTAAGAAAAAATAAACTTAAGAAACACTATCTAAGGAATAATTAAACTTCTATTTATAGTTATTTYATGGTCTGCCATGGAGCTTAATTAATGTGGTCAGTAAACTCACTCGTTTTTTAAGACCCAGTTACAGTGATGGTCCTGCCCTAAGATAATTCATGAACAATTATAGATAAGAGGGAGACAGCTTTGAAATCAATGTTTTACACAGGAGACAGATATTACAAAGATCAATGCAATAATTAGATTTGTTAAAAAATAAATATATCATACATTTGGATTACTCCAGGGGTGCCTTTGTGTCTGAGGTTCAACCAGTGGATTCTTTTAATCAGAATTAGTTCTGGAATGGATTTTGCTGGCTATGGAGCTAAAAAYGTAATCCTGGCTGGCTCATTCAGCTTTATTAAGCATCCATGACTATTTTCCAAAAGAGGATCTCTTTCTTCTCCTGACAGAAAGGCTCATCAAATACAGACAGGAGGGGAGAGGAAAGGAAATCTCAGCTCCATTGAAGCTGAAGCCAAATCTCCCATCAAATTCAGTGTCTCACCTAAGCTGCAGAATGCACTTTAAAATGCTATTGGCCTGATAATGATACAAAATAGACCCCAMATTTCTGTCCTGGGAGAGGAGAGGGAGTGGGAGAAGAGAAGAATCCAACACACCCATTTGTCTGATCCTGTGAGGCATTTACCAGTAGCATGTACTTGGCAGAAGATCTGATGTACAAATTGAATAAATAATAAAATAGTCTGCATTTCCTTGCACCACAATTCATAAATGCTTTTGGTGTACATAAATGATCCTAAAAGACGTGCTTGCATTTCCTTTGAGGAATCTCTGAGGAATCCAAACACATCAGAATCACGATTGTAACTTGGAAAGCTGAAAGTCATCTAATGAGGCAGACCCTGTCAAATCCGATATGGGAAAAACCTTTGAGTTTAAAGCAAAACTTTTGTAACCCTGACACTAAAGCATCTCTCAATAAGTTACAGCAAACCCAGWCAACACCCCCCAACAACTGGCAAGTAATCAAACCCACTGTGAGTAATCACATCAGCCGAAGAGATGCTGTAAAATGCCGCTCATACCCACTTCTTTACCTTTTCACCTACTGTGTGCATCACAGCCACGCCTGAGGCAGCAGGAATTGGTTAAAGCCACCTCATTTAAATACATAAAAATGTTAATGAGGCTTGCTGGAGGGGAGRTGACTCACCTAAAAGCCTGCATGCAACCAAAAATGTGATGCTTCTCTTTTTTTTATCCACTGCTACTTCCCTTTGCTTCAAAAATATTAAAGTCTCRATTCAGCAAAGTGCTTAGTGTGGAACTTTTGAAGGGTGAGACAATTGTGTGTATTTAGTGGAAATACTGGGCTGCATTGGCTTAGATATGTCAAATGTGTCTTTTGAAGTCTTTTYTGGGGTCTGATCTCACTCCTAATGTCAGTGCAAATGTTCAAGACCAGCAGAACCAGGTATTTAGTGTTGGTAAGGAAGGGTAGAAGCTGSAGCCCTGGGAAGGCAGAGAGCACAGGTCTGGAATCAGTTATAGGGACATTTCACCTTTCCATGAGTATCTGGCTGTTTTTCAGCGTGCATTTCACTCAGCTAGGAAAATGGGGGGAATGCTATTTGATATTTCACTTTTAAATCCTGCTTGGGAGACAGGTGTTGCTTTGAACCCACACTAGAGAAGATAACTGCGAGCTGGRTTCCAGAGATGAATGTGAGGCAGATTAAGTCCAGACCACAATAATCTCTCTTCTCCAGCGACATCACTATCCGGGAATACCGAAGGCAAGCCAGAGTTCACACACTGCTTTATGATACTGTTAACAAGCTTGCAGCCAAAGCAAAAGTTCAGACATAGGTTTTGATGCATTTTATTTAGAAATCTATGTCCAAGCCATGATGACAAAAACCCAATGAATCTCCAGCATTTTCATCAGGGGCACAGATCCAGYTGAGCCTGTCAGAGGGCCTCATTGTGGGTAATTTCCTCATGTCAGCTACTGGCCTTGGAGCACCACAGCCCATGTTTCACACTCACTTCAGGCACACAAGGAASTGGGACATCCTCTGACAGAAACAGTCACAGAAAAGACCTCTAAGATCATCAAGTCCAAACATTAACCCAGCACTGCCAAGCCCAACAYTAACCATGTCTCTGAGCACCACATCTACAYGGTTTTTAAACACTTAAGAGGTGGTGGCTGCACCACTTCCCTGTGCAGCCTGTTCCAATGCCTGAGCATACTTCAAGTGACAATTTTTTTTTTTTTTTCTAATATCCAATCTTAACCTCTCTTAGTGCAATTTGAGGCCATTTCCTSTTCCATATCACTGGTTACCAGTGAGAAGAGCCTGACCCCCACCTGGCTGCACCCTCCTGTCAGGGAGTTGTGGAGAGKGAGAAGGTCCCCCCTGAGCCTCCTTTTCTCCAGGTGGAGCCCCCCAGCTCCCTCAGCTGCTCCCTGGTGCTCCTGACCCTTCCCCAGCTCCACTGCTCCTCTTTGGACACACTATTCTGCCCCACTTCCACCTTCATTTGCGCTTCCTACCTGGAAATGGGGCCTAAGTCGTGTCTACCCCATACAGGGAATTGGACAATCAAGCTGGATTAACGTATTTTAACCCAAGTGCTGCCCTGATGCTTGTCACCAGCCAACAAGGGTGCAAAAGCCAAGCAAGCAGCAACAGGCACAGACAAGATGCTCCYGTTGGCACTGGAAGTCTCTTTTTAAGGCAGCCAGAGAACTCTGGTGTGTCTTGGCCACTGCTGGCTGCAGTGACTAATTACAGCATTACACAGCGCTTATTTCTCTGGAGATTTGCCACGTTTGGAAGAGCTGGCTCCAGCTCTCTTGGATTTCTCACAGGGAACCTCCTGTGCCTTCGAGGAGTCTCCCCCTTAGCTCAAGTTCATGATCTCTGTTATCTGCCAGGTATGGATGAGACACCCAGCTGTTAAAATTTAGCCCCTCTGGCTTTCCCAGGTAGCTGACTCCAACTCAATTSAAGGCAACGACAGCCTTATCACCTCCTGCTTTGAAGCAGGCTCCAGCTATGGGATTGATCCAATGTATAAATGCCAAGTCTGACTCCAGGAAGGGAGGAGAATCATCAGCTGAAATTATTTAAAGGGTTGCAGATATATCTTGGCATGCTGAATGGAAATGGAGGAATTTCTTGGGGAGAACGTTAAAAAATTTCTCAAAATAATTGTTAACACACACAGCACAACCCCCATCCCACCTCTGTCAGTCAGGTTAGAGTTTACCCACTGTAATGAAGTGTTCATGGGTTTGCATTGTTTATGGCTATACTTCTTATTGTTCTTGAAAAGAAATCAGTGGCTGGCTTCAGAATTTTAGAATAAAAACTTGCTGTCAAGGTGTGCTGATCACTCTTGTGTCCAGCAAACATCTGCATGCAGCTACAAAGCAATTTAGAAAAAGATTCAGGGAGTGCTGTTCAGGACATAAACTGGGCCTAAACCCAAGAAATAGATCTGGCAAGCTCAAGCTCCATCATCACCTGTGGCTGGAAGCACTCAAATCTGCCAGCATCCAAATCTGATTGGACAGATTTCCTACATGCTCCAGTTTAAGATCCCACACCTGAATGATCTTGGGATGTTCCAGCCAGGCTCTGCTGCTCCACTCACATCCCTCTGGACTCAGCAGACCCATGAAGAAAGTTTTGGGAATAATTTTAGCAGATCTAAGACTGGCTGCCTTGGARCAGGCAGCTCAGGGCAGGTAAAAAGGTAAAGCAGGGCACAGCCAAGCTGTAAGTAAGGCAGGAGACTTCATTAGTTTTYGTTCATTATTGAGACATAAACTTGAGAACAACTCTTGACTAAAGACAGGGAAAACTGTGAACTTAAGGGYTGTGTGAAGAAACTGCAGAAAACACCGAGCAAAGCCCCTGCAGATACTTTGCAAATACAATCWCCTTGTACCTGCTGCTTTGCACACCACAAATGCTTCCCTGCTGCAATTAATGAATTGTTAATTGCATGCATTTATAAAAAGAAAAGTCTTTTGTGACTGATCAGTCCTGCTGAATTTGTCATKTAAACTATTTAAGGCAGTGTTTGAATACCTGTCTAGCTCCAAASCTGTCAGAAATACAGGGCACATCAAAGAGGCTCTGCTGCAGCCTAAAAAGAAAGGAAACAATTGTAGTTGTGGTATTGGTAAACCTACAAGGGTTTCGCTGTTAATATCTCCAGCTACCACACAACCACAAGAACTGACATGATATGCCATGATTTTTCCTTTTGGGTATAACCATCCAAGCTAAAATACCCCATATGTTACGAGATTGATGCTTAATACTTCATTCCAGATGTGCTCTGGCTTAGTTAAATATTTAACACATTTCTAAAAGAATGTAGTCTATAATTGCATTAATACTTCAGAAGAGTGATGTCCTGGTGAGTAAAGGGAAAGATATTCCAAGCTGGCTATGTCCCTACTCCTGTCAGTGATCAGAACTCAGCCAGGTTACATTTAAAAAATCTGATGATCATTGATCTCTTTGGATGGCACTGAAAGAGCTGCACAGGCACAATCCTGACAGTGTCCCCCAGTAACATTCCCAAGGTCTAAACAAAGCAGCACTGTAACCTGGTAAAATTCCAAACAGCAAAATTCTCATTTAAACTCAAATATATCCAAGGAAAATTGCATGATGCATGTATTTAATTGCTGAATTTTGTGCTGTTAGCAAGTTTTGCCTTTTTCCCTGTGCATTTCCACAGCAATGGCTCACAAGACCCAAAGAGCAGGAGCTGGAAGTATGATGGATCCCCAAAGTGATGAACATTTCCACAAAAACGAACACACGAAGACACATTTTTATTTTTAGAAAAATCTGATTTTGATAGAAATCTCTCGTGAGATGCCTGACTGGCAAACGCTTTTATTGAAAGCACTGGGAATAACTGACAAAATTTTAAGTAGTAACATGTAACCTAAGTGCTGATAAAAACACAACATGAGTTGGTTGGTGAGACCCCCACCTGCAGAGCTGCCTCCAGCCCTGGGGGCCAATCAAAGGACATAGAAATTTGGAGCAGGTCCAGAGGCAGCCACAAAGTTGCTCCAGGGACAGGAGCACCTCCCCTGTGGGGACAGACTGGGAGAYCTGGAGCTGCTCAGCCTGGAGAAGYTTTTGTGGAGACCCCACAGTRACCTRTAACATCCAAAGGGGGCCTGCAGGGAAGCAAGACAGAAATCATCTGCAAGGAACTGGAGTGGCAGGACAAGGGGGAATGGCTTCAGACTGAGAACAGGTTTAGGTTTAATGTTGGGGAGTAACTCTTCACTGTGAGGGTGGGGAGGCCATGGCTCAGGTTGCCCAGAGAAGCTGTGGCTGCTCCATCCGTGGAAGTGTCCAAGGCCAGGTTGGATGGGGCTTGGAGCAATCTGGGATAGTGGAAAGTGTCCCTGTCCATGGCAGGGGGTGGAACAAGATGTTCTGTAAGGTCCTTTCCAACCCAAACGAATCTATGGTGTTAAGTGTAGCATAATTAAACAATATGCAGATGAAGATTTTGGATAGAATTTAGGAAACTTTTAAAGAATAGGAAATAGTGCATTCCCTCCTTTCCCTAATTCCTTCCTTACCCTTCATGACAAGCAGTGAGACAATTAAATCTTGTTGAGATGTGGTGAAATGAGAGGAGGGGCAAATACAGGGCTTCTTTCCCTTCCCACACCGTGGGCAACAAAGCAGATGATTTATAAAAATTTACACTCAGAAAATCTAACAGTACATTTTTCTGCTGAAATCTATGGTTCCATTAGTCCATGAGGGGTGTCTTTGTAAAATTTACCCCTACCCTGTTCCAGGATGGGGAGATTATGCCAGTATGACCATTAGAGCACCTTGATAAACTGGGTGTGTTTATTCACATGCACAGAGAAGAGCTGGGAACATGCTGTTTATCACCTAGACAACAATCCCACACAGGTAATTCCAAATTGATCATGGAAAATAAAGGCAGCAGCAGGGAGAAAGGAAGACAGACAATTTACCAGAAACACAAAGGAGGGCTGGGATACGTGAAGATTCAATTTTAGCTAAAAGACAGACATTATTACTTGACTTTTGTAACATTCCAGGTTTATTTAAAAGACATTATTCTGCAGGTATGTATCTTACAGGTCTTAAGACTGATAAAACACTAGGAATAATGTGATAACCCTAGCAAATGGAGACATGGCTAAAATMATACAAGAGTGATTTTTTCTTTCAATAAAATTTTGGACATTTCAATCCCATTTTTAACACTGGCCAGAGCAATTCATACCTAGAGCATTTGGAATAGTTCACTGAAGGAACAAAACTTGACAAGATGAAAACAGCAGACTACACTTGATTTCTGCAACTGCTGGCAAAAGCTGCTGGAGAAGTATCTGCACACTTTAAAAATGTTACATCAGTGACAGATGGAATTTTGTGCTTTAATACTTTGCTTGGAAAGTCTCTTTATCCAACATGAAGTCAGCAAATCTCTGCTGGAGCTCCTTTTCTCTCTCCTGCTGTCGCTGCACATCTTCCTTCAGACACTGTAAAAAAAACATCATTAAGACAGTCAGTTTTCCAACAATAATACCCATGAAGATCTTTACCAAAGGTTGAATTTTAGTTCCTTCAGAGGAATAACTCAGACTTGAGACAGGACAGTGCTAAAATTACTTATTTTAAATATAAATGTAGAACAGCAGAGGATGTAAAGTATCAAGAATCACAGTTATCTTACTTGAAATGTCATGTATCCCACCCTGCTCTTGACAGCAGCTAAGATCAAATACTTCAAAAGGAGAGATTTCAAATTGGAACCTTGCCATTTACTAAAACCAGGTGTTATTAGTAGCTATCAAGTGATTTAATATGTTTTAACTGTTATCTTTCACTAAATCAATGAATCACTTCTGAGCTTGTAGACACATCTATCAGCATTTCTAAACCATCTTCACAAAATCAGTTTTAAGAACTGATATATTTTGTCTTCTTCATAGCAAGTGGTTGAGAATATCTAAGACTCAATGGAAGCCTCTGTTCTGGAGGAAAAACTGTGTTACAAAAAACATTGTGCCCAGGTGAAACCTTATTCCTTGGAAAGAAAGGCTGGCACTGGTTCAAACCTAGGACTGAGTCTTGATTAAGGGTTGTCTTTTTAGCTAAATAAAAAGAGAATATCCTGGAGATCCTTAAACTAAGAAAAATGGCTCCAAGKCAATGATTTCAGGTATACATCAGCATTTAATCCACTGACTTTTAGGGAAGAACATTTTAGAGAAGTTTTACATTTACCCTAAGTTCTAATAACAATTAAAACCAAAACAAACTAAATTAAGAGAGATGGAACTTCTGCTGATATGCATAGCAGAAGACTTATAAAAGAAACCACACAAGGCAGTAAAAAAACCCCAAAGTTAAAGAAAACACTGCCACATTAGTCCCAGCCTCTAATATGTRTATTCCAGAATCTTTTGATACTGGAGTAAATGGCAGATGAATCTGGTAACAGCCAAAAGTATAATTTTAAAAGAACATTAAGAACTTGACACCAACTCAGGCTGTGAAGCTCACAGCTCATGCTATGTAAAATCATCTTTTCCATGAGGTGCCTGTGTTTAACCTCAGGTAYTGGATTTTGGAATCTCACCTCCAGTCTCCGAGGGATAGCAGCATCCTCGTGTTTCTTCAGCTCCTCAAAGGTTCGCAGCTCCAGGTGGGCCTGTTCAATCTGGTCCCACAAATCATTCAGCTGCTTGATGAGCCCCATTGCTCGAGATTGGTAACCACCAAGCAGGATCTTCAGCTTCTTCTCCATCTTGGCAGCCCTCTTTGCTTCAGTGGTCATGTGGCCTCTGTTGATCTGCCAGAAGGAACCCAAGAGTTGTTTTATTTACCAGAATTCAAARGTCAAGAGGAAGAGGGAGAAAAAGAAAAGGAGTAAAAAGGTATTTGAGGAATTGTTTTGAATTGATCAAGTTCTTTGATTCCTATTAAAAAAAACATACGGCATGTTTTACAACCACCTAGACTTCTGGATTAAAATCTTTACAATAGACATAATACATATCTAAAACCATAATACACAAAAAAATACATAAACAGACAAGTGACACAAATTACAAGATTCTGCTAATTGGGACACAATGCCAATAACTAAACATATTTGTATTAACACGCTATAAATTTTATATAAAACATTTATAAATAGTAAAGGTAACAGAAGCTTCTGTGTATTTTTACACATGGGGCAAAATTAATTGAGCTAAAAGGATGAAACAGCCATCAGAAGTTTTAAAGCCTGGAAGAAGGCACCAAAGAAATCTTTAACACTGAATCCCAATCACAAATGGCTTGAAGACAAAGATTAAATGTTTGATAGAAATCCTTCCCTGTGAAAGTGGTGAGGCCCCAGCACAGGTTGCCCAGAGAAGCTGTGGCTGCCCCATCCCTGGAAGTGTCCAAGGCCAGGCTGGATGGGGTTTGGAGCAACCTGGGATAGTGGAAGGTGTCCCTGCCCATGGCAGGGGGTGGAACAAGRTGATCTTTATGGTCCCTTCCAGCCCAGGCCATTCTATGATCTTAGGAAACCAAGAAAGAACACAGACCTCCACCACTGAGCACAACTGTAGAGGAGTGCAGCAGCTCACATCTCTGAACAGGGAAATAAGGTTTCTTGTTGAGGCTTTTTTAATGTTACTTCCTTTAAAGAAAAACCTAAAAAAATTCTCTTTTTCAGAAAGGATTCAGTGAACAGTGCCAAGCTCAAGAAAAAAAKGAATCAAGCTTCTCAGATTTTGATTTTTGCCACAGTTAACGATATATTACTGCAAGAGACGAAGAAAAATATTAAAGTTTTTCAAGTGTTAAAATATGAAAGGCTAACTCAGAACCACAGTGTCTGAGTCACCCACCCTTGCCTTGTTTCTTTAAAAATCAAAGCTTTGGTGGTGAATGTTCTCACATAGAAAGAAATTACCAGTGATCAGCCAAAAAAGCAGAAGCTTTTCATTGCTACAATTACCCAATATACCATTTATTACCAATGAAACTGAACTCCTTCGGGAAGAACTACAGTTAAGGGTTCTACCCTTCACAGTGATAACTACAGCCAGTCAAATTACTGAAGTAGCCTCTGTTACACAGCTGCARGTCTCTGTAACATGCCCTCCTACTCCTTAACAATTTATTCACTCATTTAGAACAGTTTTAGTTGGTAGTGAACAGATAAACAAARTGAATGGTCAAGGGAGCAAACTGTTAATGGGTGAGTGAAAGAGAAATTTGACTTTCTGAGCTGTCKAGTTTGCTCCTGGGGAGAGAGATGCAGACTGCTACGCTTTTCAAACTCTGTTTGCAGTGTAGACTTAAGCTATGCCCAAGGTGCTTTAAGCATACAGAAAGGCGCCTCTTTTTCAATATTTATATAAATCTAGAGAAAATTAAATAAATAGATTAGGGATTTGTGAGGATAYTCTCTGATGGAAAAGTATGAAAGATTTAAATGTCTTCACTGGTAAATAATATGCTATTACTGCAACAACAAATACAGCTGTGCGGTCAATGAACTATTTTCCAATTACTGTTTCTTGGATGAAAAATATGTGTTGAGGGCCACTGACATTTAGAGATCATGGAATAGATGGATGCACARGGAAACAGAATTTTCTTTGCAACASAGGTCTAATGAAACAAAGATCAATTGTCTATGTTGGTCCAGCATTGCAGACTGAGTTGAGTATGGATGGTGTGAAATGAAACTCCCATCATAATGTCATTTTTCAGAGCAGGCTAAAAAAGACCATTTAGAGAAGTTCCTGTCATCCTAAGTGAAGATCTTATTCTTTACTGTGAGGGTGGTGGTACTGGGGCACAGGCTGCTCAGAGAATCTGTGACTGTCTCATCCCTGTAAGTGACCAAGGCCAGGTTGGATAGGGCATGGAGCAACCTGGGATAGTGGAAGGTGTCCCTGCCCATGGCACGGAGTGGGACAAGATGAGCTTTAAGYTCCCTTCAAACCCAAACCACTCTGTGATTCCATGCTCTCTCAACAAYCTAATTTTCTAATAAAATGTTAAAAACTGAGTATGTAGAGTTATCAGCACTATTCCCACCATACAGAAAAGGGACTGGATCAGGGCACTGTGGTCACAAGCCCYGAACTATCCCCACATTCCAAGAATCACCAGCAGCAGTGGCAGTACTGGGTTGGCCTTGCACTTTTCCACYCTTCAGTTTGGCTTTAGACATCAATATCTGAGCGTGTCACTGAGGCCTTTCTGTCACGAGGAGAGAAACTGCAAACTCCAGGATATGGTTAATCTGATCCAAAGTCTTGGGACATGACTGAACACTCCACTGAAGGGCTCTTCACTGACTGTGATGGGAGCACAAACTGTTTGTTCAGACCTGTTATCCAAGGCCAGGTAGATCAATCCCGCCCTAAGTGTGCACTGCCTTAAGGTATTAGACTGAATAAAGCATTTTTAAATTTAAAGCTTTTAACAAAGCCAGTTCAAGTCTAATACTTATTATWGTGTCAAATCCTGATTATTTAGGCACCCTTGAAATTTTCAGACAATGCGAATTGGACTTAATACTTCTGAGTTGGTCTGTACACTGGATTCTTAACTACTAGAGCTCCTTAGGTAATATGCTGCTACTCAGCCCCTGCTTTTCTAATCAGCTCCTTGTCCACCTTGGATTATCATAGGGCTCACTGCTATAAAATGTAAGGAAAGGTGGGGGGAAAGAAAAAAGCCTCTCAAGTATCTAAAATCAGAAATAACAGCCCTTTCTTCCTTCTCTGCTTATGGAGAAATGTGAACACTCACCACCTTTCCCTCTCCCTCCTAACTACAAAATTTTAGGACCTACTACAAAAAGGTCAAAAGGAGGTCTCAGCTTTTGTAACAAATACTATTTATTAAAAATTGCTGACTGCTGCATTAGTGCCAACAACTGCATATAATTTCAGTTCAAGCTTCATAAAATTTTAAGGCTCAGATACCAAGCTAAAAATTCCAAGCAGTTATGAAGAGGTGTGTTAAAACAGTAGTCTACATTATTTGCTTAAAGCAAAGAAATAGATTTGAGTAAAATCTGACAACCATTTCCCCCAAACCTAACAAAAAAAGCAAAGACATCTGAAAGATTTCTCCACTTATTTAYTTTGTACTGTTCCTTGGCCAGCTTYGGTTCTGCTGAGTTTTATACCAGCTACAAYAAAATGAGAACAGTATGTACAGACACGAGGTAAGATGATATATGATGTTAAGGCAAGTGTGAGMGCCTCATCCCATCCCAAATCTCTGATGTAAAAGCCTTCCCTCATGACCAGTAGAGTGGTGCTCAGTTTTCAATACTGCACTGGAGATTCAAGGAAGAGAAACCAAAACAGCAGTAGACAAAAGAGCCAAAAGAGCAACAGACATAACCAGAGATTCATAAAACATGATCTAGAAACGGGAGACTGACTGGAAAACCAGGGTTTCTTTGGTTTGTTTTTCCTCTGCCTAACAAAAATAGAGAAAAAGGAGAAAGACACAACATCCTGCTTTAAATATAACAAAGTTCATTGTGAAACATTCATCTGCKCTTATGGCCACTGAGAAAGGAAGAGGGACTTAAATTTGGGAAGGAAATTTTAGATAGGAGGTTAGCTGTAAGGTTTAACTAAGGACAACGAAGGACAGGGAAGGACTCCTTACGAGAATAAACATCCACTGGGAAAGATTTAAGAAAAACTGACCCTGGGGAAGGAAGAGCTCAAGTGCCTTAAAAACTACATTTTCAGAATTCTGATCTCACCAGGTCTACTGAGGACACCCCTYCTCATTTCCAAGGGCTCTTTCCCTGTACTGACAGCTTTGTTTTCCTTCCCTTAAATTCAGAGGTTCTGGTAATTCCCTGAACAGTAGAGATCTTTTCCAATGTTAATAATTCTATCTCAATCACAGAAGAAATGCRTCTAGAAGAGCACAGTTTATGATGAAAAACTAGTAATTTATTCTTCCTAAACTTTTTTGGAAACTCTCAACCACTCACCGGGAAAGAAAAACCTTGCATTAGGATCACAGAGAGCAACAACCACCCGAGGTCAAGAGCTTTGATTAACYAAAAGCAAACACAGGTTACTGCTGTGTCTGATGAGGTCACAGGACAGCCAGCACAGTGTAATTACCTCCAAAAACTACCCCTGCACACCCAGAGTGACTGCACTGGCCTCTTCCAGGGGCTGACAATTTTGTGGAAGCTCAGGGAACAAATAAGTTGGCAAAGAGCTTGGTTYCCTCACATCCCAGGAGAAACCCTACGGTGATCCTGCACCAGTCAATTCTCAACAGTGATGGTGTGCAAAGGCCTTTTGCAATGACAGCTTTGTCAATGATGAACTTTATTTCTAAGCATGCTAAATTACCAGATTCTGAACTATTTGAYGGTGAAGACTGCTGATAACCCTCTGCTGTGGTCCTCTGGTGCCAGCTACATTCTCAACAAACCTTATTTTAAAAAGCTATTCCACAAAAGCAACACAAAATTAGCACAAAATAAAACRGGACCATAAAGCAATGCTACTCAGGATTTTCATCAAATTTTAGTTTTGTAAGTAATTTCTCAACTCCTAGTCCCATAAAATCTCTTATTTTCTCCAGGTGCTTTCTTAGTACAAGAACACCTGAAAATAATAATACAGAAGCACATAAACTRGAGAGAAATTAAAATACAATCTCTAACAAAGTAAGTGATACACCCTGCAGCAGACTGTACCATCTAACCTATAAAACTCCAGCTAAGCAAGTTATTTTTGATCTGAATTAATTCAGAAGACTTGGGCGGCAATCAAAAGAAAAAATCAACACTTTGGTAATCACCACCTTGATGCATCTTGGAGACTTCAAAGAATAGATAATTTACTACATTTTGCATGTACAATGTATCCTGAACTTCTCTCCTGTAGACTTCCACTAGCATTTATAATTTAGTCATCAACTGAAATGATAATGTTAACTACCACAATTTTAATAAAAGTATCTGCATTCTGCAAGCCAACCTTACTATCTTCAAAGGAAAAATAAACATGGCAGAAGTTTCTGTGTTGCAAACTACAAAGAGAAGCAACTAGTTTGGTAAATAGATGCTTTTACTATCTCATTTCATCTTATAATGTCCCTAGTTTAAAATACGCTAGTAGGAACACTTCTTTATAAATATATTGTTTGGAAGAGAAGGGAGCAAAGTATTGCAGAGAACTGAAGCAGTTACTGAACACAACTGCAAGCATCAGAAAACTCCAATTTATGAAATCACTGGTTCTGCAGTCTAGCATAGCCTTGGAAAAATATTCTGAATTTCTAGAAGCTACTGGAAAGATCGGAAAATTCTACAAATCTAAGGTGCACCACAGACACACACTGAAGTCACAGGGATACACTTGCATGGACCTGAAACTCCCCATCTGTAACGCAAGGAAGTTCACATACTAATCTTGTAACACTCYTAAACTACATTAAGTAACATAAACAAAGAATCCAAAACCCTCAGAACAAAGAAATGTAAAGTATTACTGATACACAGCAGTACACTCCAACATCAGAACTACTGCTGAGCTGTGCATTACTGATGATGCCTGGACAGGATACCCAGCCAAACAGAAGCTCTCCACAACAGCTCCACTTTGCCTCCTCAAGATCACCAGTAACAGCACAAATCTGTTTGTGATATCAGAATCCATTTCAGAAAGATAAATGTCATGTCAACATACACAAGGCTGCCATGACGAAACCCCTCAGGCAGTGACAACAGGACAATTAGAGAAAGATGAGTGTGTGTCCACACCATCAATCCAGCCAGGAATCTCCATGCGATGAAGGCAGACCCAGAAATAGCTTGATTTTTTTGCACAGGATCTGCAGGGTGTCAGCAGTCCCATATGGAACTATTAGACAGTGACTTCCCCATGTGCAGCTGTGCCAAATATCACTACACTCCCATGGGTTTTTTTCCCTAATGATCTTAGTGCACTATAAAGGGGAAGAAGCAGCCCCCAAAACTGACCAACATCAAGTGACTGTTGCTGGCAAACTCTATTTTACAATTTCTACTCTTCTCTCAAAGAAAGTTAAGAGTAAAAGCAAGTTTCTTAGGGTACTGAAAGCTGAGCTAATATCCCTGCTTTTCATTAAGCTTGTCTGATACTTCCCATTAAAATATCTATTTCAACTGATATTGCTTTCAGACAATTTTGCTTGGAAAAAAACATTAAAATGAAGATGGGTTTTGTCATTGCTGAAAATCGGTTAGGAAAAAGAATCTGTGCTTTTTTTATTGCATATTCATTTGTTCATTAAACTGCTATACTTTTTATTTATAGTTTAAAAAACGATTCAGCAGGTGACCTATGCTTAAAAAGTCTGTATACGTGTATCTTGCTTTTAGGAAAGGCCTTTTAGGGTCAGGCCACAGAGCTGCACTAAACTGCATTTTGCACACACTTGGGAGAGATTTTCAGGTCAAATTTAACTTTACAGAGTCCACCTGCACTCAACAGCAGTGAGTTGTGAGAGGCAGCACAGTGCTCACCGCACCTGCAGCCACGGAGCTCTGCTGGCTCTGATGCCTGACTGGACTRGGGGGTGGTACTGTGGAACACAGAAAATGGGAGAGCAAGATTGTGTGTGGAACTGCACCAAGCCATCAGCCTCATCCAGCAGCACTCTGAGCTTCCAGGGGATGTAGTTACATTAGCCAGAGTCTCATGACTATATCAAGTGATCATAGACACAGAATGGGTCAAGCTGGAAGGAGCACAGTGGAACATCTGCTCCCTCMTCCCTGCTCCAGCAGGGTCATCCCAGAGAACAGGGCCTGGGATTATATTCAGACACTTCTGGAGTATGTCCAGTGAGGGAGACTGCACACTCTCTCGACAATGTGTTCCATGCTTGGTCACCACACAGTAAAGAAGCTGTTCCTCATGCTCAGGTGGAGCCTCTTGGGTTCCTCCTGTGCCACTGCTGCCCCCCCTGCCCAAAGCAGAGCCTGRTCCYTGCTCTGAGCCCTCCCTGCAGACAGGGACACACAGGGATGAGGGCCCCTCTCAGCTGTGGCTCCTCTCGAGGCTGAACAGCCCCAGCTCCCTCAGCCTTTCCTYGTCAGGGAGATGYTCCAGTCCCTTCAGCACCTTTGTCACCTTCTGCTGGACCAGCCCCAGGAGCTCCATGTCYCTCTCTGAAGAGCCCAGAACTGGACACAGCACTCCAGATGTGCTGAGAGAAGGGCAGGATCACCTTCCTCAGCCTGCTGGGACACAGCTCACTGGATTTTGTTAAATGTCTTTCAGAGTCCTGTGCAATGCTGGTAGCAAATAAAACACTTTTTTTTTTTTTTTGCAAGACCTCTGATTCACACTTTGCTTCCAGCATGACTGTCTTGCAACTGCAGAACAAAGACCACTTAGAACAAACATACGTGAGTTTGATGAATGATAAACTTGACCTTACTTTGCTTCAGAATCCTTACTAAGCATTCCACCACCAACTCACTCATTCAAAAATTGGGAAGAGAAGGGCAGAAAKCAACAGCACAAGAAAGCCCACACAGAAGTAACCAATTTAGACTGCAGAAGCAGTGCACAGGATAAAGGCACAGGGCCACACACCAAACAATTAAGAGAAAACAAAATATTCAAGAGCTACTCATTAAGCAAGTACCATCCACCCTGTGCAGTAAATGAGTCTGTGGAAAAACTAAGCTGCAATCATGAAATTAAAGACTGTCTCAAAAAGCATATGCATAGGCAAATTAAGGCAGTTTGCGCATTCCCTAACTTGGACTGTTTGACTTTGCAACTTTAATAATGCCCTTCTAATGTAGTTTTGGGCCTAAGATATTTAAATTTCAAAAGCATTTGTGCACAAATTAGGTGCAGCCCTCCGACTGCTGGCGCACTGCCCGCCCGGCCCCGCTGCCATGCAGGGCCAGGCTGCTGCTGAGCTCACACACGGGTTTGGGAAAGCAGAGCAGGCAGAGAGCTCGGGCAGCGCTGGGCAGGGCAATGGTGCTCTCTGCTGGGTGAGCAGCAGCACGACAGGGGTTCCGGAGTTCATACTCAACTCTTACTACCAAGCTACGTGCAGGTGAACTGCTCCTAGCCAGACAACTTGGCTAACAACACTGGAACCTGTACCTGGACAACGCTCTTGACGAACAGACTTTACAAAACACTCTCTCACGCTGTATTTCATGTGTATGAATCAAGTGAAAATTCAGCCTTTCTGGCCTCTCTCGTGTTGTTTCTGGGGTAGCAGCTGTTTGGGGAGGTTTACTTCTAGCAACAGTAGYTATGTTGTTAAATACAGAAAAACTTTTTTTGCAAAGCTTCCTTTTACCATGGAAAAAATAATCTGATGCCTGCATAATTTAGAGAGACTTTTAGGCTAAATCGGTATTTTAGAAAACATTTAATGACTATTGAAAGTCAGAACAAATATGTTTTGTGGGAAGAAACCATTTCAAACCAGATTACTTGTTATCATGGACAGCATCTATTTTTGGTTTTTTGCATGAAGCGTTAGGGTGAAAATCGAGAGAAGGGACTGGGAAAAGGAAATCAGTGTCAGCCTGATAAAGTGAAATGGGATCACAAACATCCATTGTTCTCTTTTTTGGATGGAATCTCTGGAAGTGGAAAAAGATGCCAACCTGGCAAGAATTCAGGACTATCTAAACTTTCAGGTATGTAATAGTCTGTCAGAAACCAAATCTTAAGTTGGAAAGAGAACTTGAGAGGAGCTCTGGGACAGAGATGGTTTCTTTAAGCATCTTTTTCTGAAGCATCTCCTCATACTGGCCACAATCAAGGACAAAGTGCAAAATGAGAAAGATCAGCTATCCGATCCATTCACAGCAGAGATTAGGAAAATAATAGAAAATCCACATGTAATTAAGAGACAGCAGAACCTGACCTTCCCTCCACTTGAGAATAAAGTGGATGAGCTGTGTCACWGCTAGGAGTGCACAGACAAACTGTGCAGGAATACTCTGTGTGGGGATATTTTCAGAAGAGGAGAATGAGAGGTGACTGAATTGCCTCAAGAAAATCTATGAACTCCCTAGGAAAATTCTTCAACAACCTTTTCAAAGGAATCCCTTAAAAAGACCTGACTGAATTCCTATAGAGAAAAAAAAAACAAGCCAAAACACAAGGCAACTCAAAAATAAGGAGGTGCAAAAGGCAGAAAAAAAGTGACACTGACCTCGAGTCTCTTTTCAAGTGACTCTATCCTGTCCTTTTTGCTGGCCAAGTTAGCCCTTGTGTAGCGGCTTTGTCCAGGCAAGTACAACACTTGGCTGTAACATTCTTCCCACACCTGGTTATAAGCTTCACTTGACAGCTCTCCATGCCCCATTCCTTGCTTTACCACCTCCATCTCTTGTGCCAGCAGATCCTGTGCCTGTTGGAAAAGATGAGAAGAAATTGCAGTTACAATATACAGGATACAAGGAAATTCCTCTTSTTTTCAAACCTTCAGTGTGCAATTCATGGGGGCAGCTTTTCTTTTCATACTCAAAGCTCACCACCAGGTTAAGCTAACTATGAAATCGAACACAGATGCTGTGGATTATAAATGAAACCCAGGCTAGAAGGCTCCTCACAGCACAACTATCCCTCATTTTATATAATTTGGCCAAACCTGACATCASTCTGGCATGGCTAATGAAAGCTGTGGCACAGTGAGATACTTCATCTTGCTGCAGAAGAACAGAGATAAAAGCAGGGACCTTGAGGGGAGGGAGAACTGTACAGACAGAAGCAGCTGTTCTATGAAACAAAAATCACTTTTCATTTCCTTTTGCTTGTCCTTCTCCACACAACCTGGAAAATCAAGTCTAAACCTTCCCGGGTGAGCTGTGTAAGCTCTGCTGTAGGAAATAGAACGCTGACTGTAACTAACACATTCTGTGGCTGAAGTGAGCTGGAGAGATAGGAGCATTCTGCTCCTTCCAGTTTAATTTACAAAGTTTACAAAGAACTGAAAAGATTCATGCACTCACAACTCTTAATATTTCTGACGAAGAGCCTGGCCTGCAAAATTACATTGGCACCCAGGTCCTTCTGATTTTATTAATAACTAAAAAACTAAAATATCTTTGCCAAGCTGGACTTCTTTAGTTGTAAAAGCATGTCCATGTCCCTTCTTTCAACAGGATTTACAGGTGCAGCACAAATCTCCCTATCAGCAGTAGGTATCTTACTGCAAGATGTTTCATAACTGCACACTGACCAGGTAGGAATTCAGGTATCACCCAATTAGATGATTCCACAGATACTGGGGAAAGGAATATTAATTACCTGTTATTGATGGTCAAGACAGATAAAATAGGAGTAATCCAACCACACCTGACAAAGCTAAATCTTAAAAAATTCAATTAGCCTCTATCAGTACACTGTGAAGAACCACTTGAGGCTATTTAGCTGTAGCACCAAAAGGGTTCTCCAGCTCCATGAGCTCAGCACACCATGCCCAGCATCACTGCTAATCCCTTCCAAAAGAGAACTACACATCAGGAAAAGAAAGGAGCATTTTATGAAGGGGTTTCAGGAGGAAGATGTTCTAAAAACAAATGAAGTAAAGCTAAATAAACAAGCCCCAGAGGAGATCACAGAGACAGGAAAATTTCCTGGTTTGACTGATTTCAGACAAAGAGTGAATATTGTGCTGAATGTTAGAGAGCAAGTAGGAGCAGAGATGAAAAAAAAAAAAACTTCGGTCCATCAGTTAGGAGACAAAACTTCTAGGAACTCTGAAGAAAGTTTCCAGACAAAAACTACTGGACTGTGTCATAGTCTCTAAGGGAAGTGACAGCAAACCTGATTTTTGCTGCACTTCAAAACAACCAGAGAAAGCACTCAGAGAACATTCCTAAGGGAACAATCTGACAYTGGCAGGGCAATGAAATTCATGATCTAACTGTATTTTCCATCTTTAACTTCTCCTGGTAAGAAATCTGAAAGTATAATTTTTCATTTAACAGCAAATTGGAAGTACATAGTGTTCAGTGTTTCTCTTTTTAGGCTCTTGATTCATTGGTCACATATGGTCAAGGACATGGATTTGAAATCTGCTTGTATGTCTTCAATGTCATCTTAAAGCAATATGGGATTTGGGTGTAGAGATAAAACAGGTATTGTCAGAGAATAAGTCTAGAGGGACAGACAAATGGATGGCGTGTGATTTTGTCCTTTTCCCTCATTTTTATTCCTGTAGGCATCTGGTCATGGGTTACTGGCACAGCTTCACAGGTGAAGCTCTTTGAAAGAGAACCACAGAATTGCCTATCTGTCACTTGGCAGCAAAAGGCAACATCTGTAGCTGCTTAAATAAATGAACACCCTGAACCGGAACCCTGGTGCAAGGCTGCTGTTTAACTTGGGATTACAATGCAAAACAGGACACAGTGCCCAGACCGCCCACTCACTGCAGCCAGCARTGACCCAATCTGCCTGTTCAGCACTTCTGTACCAGGTATGGCTATAAGATTGGCTGCCACAGCCCAGCAGGCTCTGCACCAGCTCAACTCTCCTGGACCAAGCTTGACAAGCATAACTAAACTGCATAACTAAACTTGATTTGCTGCTCCACGTTACAAGCTACCATTGTTCTGTTTAGCCTGCACTACTTTGAAAAAAATGCTTTTCAAGTCTGGATAAATGAAATACAGTGGCAGCAGAAGATGGGCATCGCGCCTGCTTAAAGGCTCCATGATTTAATAACAATTTAGAGTAACAGCAAAATAGAATTTGGTAACTGTTGGGCTATCACTGCTCTTACCSTTACCTAAAATGATAAGCAACCACAGCACATTCAATTTGCATCTAAATGACAATATCTATGGGCAAACAGAGCACCCACATCATTCTGCTGAGTGCCCAGATTCTCCTTTCTGTGAGCTAATGTTCATGTGCATATACATTATCCTTAATAACCTATCCTTAATGCTTGGCCATGCTGGGTTAATGATCAAACCTGATTATCTTAAGAGGTCTTTTCCAACCCCAACAACTCTCTGATTACAACTCTTTATAAAGCCCTCTGGAGCTCTCCCAACTGAATTCTGTACAGGCTTGGACCCACCTTTTTCCCCTCAGTACTACAGAATCATGCTATAAGGAGACTTAAGGTCTCCCCAGGACACGCATTTCTCACCTTCTTGAGATCTTCYTTGGAGAACTTTTCATAAGGATTTTGTTCCAAGTAAGCCATGTGCTCTGCATTGTTGCTTCCAAACCCTGGGCCTTTCCCTTTCTTACCACTGAACTGTTCTCCAAATGGATGGTGTAAAAGATCAAAATGAAGCATAGTGATCATCTCTTTCTTTATGAGTTCTTCACTTTTCTGCAAGTCTGTTAGAGGAGGCTCCACATTTAACGGTCTCAGTATTGTTTCATTAACCTGCCCAGGAATAAAATAAGTTTGTAAGTATCATATATACCAAAGATCCCATAAAATTCATGTATCTGCACCCAAGTATGAATTKTATGTATCAGCTAAACCCTGCAGAGCAGGCGCAAAGTCCCTTGTGGTATGACACATGCAGCAATCTCAACATTTGCAGATGAAATACCTTATGACAACTTTGCAGGGGAAGTGTCCTGTAATGCTGAAATCAGCATACTTAGAAAAAGATTTTATTCTCTCAGTATCTCCTTACATTGCATTTCCTCCTATAATGATTAAAGCCCTTATTTTAATTTTTTTTAACAGTGAATTTTGTTTCCACTTACTTCTGAGGGCCKTGGTAGATTCTTCTGCACAGCTTTGTGCATTCTCTTCAGTTCCTTGGCACGCTCTGCTTCTCGGAGAGCCTAAACAAACAAACCAAGTGTTACTCCAGCCACTGTAACACAATCAGATGCTACCTAAATATGTATGTGATATAAAAACTAATTGATTATTGCAGTAAAGATTCCTTCAAGTATAAAGACTTCATGTTACTAAGCCAGAGCTAAATMATGTAATGACAACTTAATTTACTGCCTATAAAGTGAACAGGAAGAGCACAACAGACTAAGACAAGTGAGATCTTCAAAAGTAATTCCCAGCTGCTCTCATTCAGTCCCAACTCCAGCAGATTTCATTCTTTCCACATTTTTCCACRTCACATGTAACAACTGCTCTAACTCTACAGACATTAAATCCACCAGGAAAAAGAAGAATTACATTAGCAGCCAGGACTCTATCTGTACAGACTTAAAGTACATATTTCACTAAAACAATACTTGTGAAAGTGCAAAACCACGAGAGTTCTCTTCACAACACACTTTYAAGCAATAAATAAATGAAAAGCCAGTATTATCAGAAACTTCAGAAACAATGACTGAGATCTTCCATGTTCTAATCCCAGCATGTCACATCTTCACTTGAAAGGCAAGATGCTCTTTTCTTGTATCATGGTACAACTCACACTCTTTTCTCAATTCTAAACACATAMATTACTTGTATTTATTCAGACTTTTTATTAGAGTATGTACACAAGTATATACATGTACATAACATACTCCTCCTCAAATGGGACACACTAKGAATCAAATTCTGGGAAATGCTTATCCCATTTAAAGATATCAAAGCATAGCATTTTTAACAATACTTTGTTCACTTGTCAAAGAACAGCCATTGCTAAAAAAACTTCTATGGACTCAAAAATCCCATTTACTTTTATAAAAAAAATTTATATTTATATGAGATATATAACAAAAAGATACTTGCCACACAAAACGTAGGATAAGCAATAAATGGAAAAGGGACTGTTGTCAGAAAGATTTGAAGTGCCTCTGATTACTGGCTAGTACAGCCATTTAACTGGCAGAATTTAAGCTTGTACTTTATCCAGCCTTCCTTGATTTTAAACCAAACCAAAACAAAACAACAAGGACTCATTCACAACTGGGCTGTCTGAGTAATCCTCTGGTACCAGCCAAAGGTACCAATCCCCTGCATGGCAGATTTTTATCTGGGTGCTACCAGTCTGCCTGCATTTGTATATACCTGTCCAACCTTTCACAAACAGCAACTTTTAACATTGAGGTAATACCCTGAAACTGAAAAAAAAGCACAAGTCTTACATGCCTAAAATCAAGTATGTGCCACTGTAGATAAAAGCTTTTAATTAAATTTTTATCTTCTGTGGGACAAATGCARGAGGTAGAACACAGGGACTCCATGGTAGAAAATAATGTCATACATAACACTGACAAATTAAGAAAATGGTYTGGAGAGAAAACTGGTTTCACCTCTGTGTGTGTATACTCTGACAGCAGCAAAGAATGCAGGTACATTTTACTTTGTTATCCTGCAGGAGCTGTAGCACTTCCATTAATCAGGTGTGAAACGATGGGAACCATACAAAGAACGTATTTTATTTTAAACCAAAGGCACCATCCACATCTCATACACTGACCTGCTTGCGAGCTTCTATATCAGCAGCATCTTCTACAAAGGTTTCATCTACTTCATGTTCTTCRAGTTCCTTTTCTGCATTTTCAGGTAGAACAATTTCAAAGTCGTTCTTGGGAGCAGGGAGGGCCATGAGCCCCAGGCGCAGGTGCTCCCGAGATTCCCTCTCCTGTTGGAAGAGCAGTGAGATGTGATGCTTCGGATACAACTGAATGCACTGCAATATCCTGAGTGCAACACAATCAAACTCCATCTGCATTAACAGACAGGAGCAACACACCAATTATCACCTGGCCACCTTATCCTGCTGCAAAGCCAGAAAACACCAGATCTGGAAACCAGTGGAGTCCACCTGACGACTGAAGACCCAAGTTTTTGTTCTAGCAGCAAAAAGCTTTTTACTATTAAAAGGCTAAGACAGAATCAAAGTATAAGTACATCAAATAAACCTTCACCTTCAAGCTAAGAGGAACTCTGGAATTATGAACTTCAAGAGTTATTTTTGTGAGAACATGCCAAACACTTGGAGTAGACATCCTTAGCTAGCTAAAAYGAAAACTGTCAATAGCTCAGGTGGGAGATATTCAAAGCTACAGTGGAGGCTGCAGAATCAGACACATAAAAGGAGTTCCCAAGGTGCTACCTATTAGGTAAATGCCCTTTTATACCACGTCTAATTGGCAGGGTCCATCTGGCTGAATCTCCAAGAATGGAAACATCTGTTGCCAAAGGTGATGAAAGAGTCTGGATGGGACTCAGATTTCTGGATATTTCAAACCCAAGTGCTCCTAATGGCAAAATTTAAACTCCTTTAGCTCAGTGTTGTCAACACGACAGACTGATAAAAAGGTCCTATAGGTAAATCAAGATGATGAGGGATTTGAGGATTGTATGAAAAATGAATCTGTGCTTGAGATGCCTGCTCTGCTCAGCTTCAAAGATAGAAACAGGATGGAAGCTTAACTATGTCTTCTCTGACAAACAGTTTCAGAGTGTGTTTACTGAACACACTGAAAGACATTCTAAGGGGGAAGATTTCTCTTCTTTTAAATAAAGGTTTTATTTTATGGTATGGCGAGGACAGATCTTTAGACAGGTGGAAGAAGTAACCCTTGTTTTTATTATAAAATTCTTTTCTGGAGATGAGAATTAAAACCCTTGCAAATTAAGAGAGCACAGATTACCATTTTTTAAGTACTACTTACCATTTGTTTTGCRTAGGATGGGTCACTGTAATCTGCCATTCCCTCTTCTGGGTTGATGTTCAGTTTATCCCGCAGTGGAGTTCTCCCAGGAGTTGTGCCGAGTGCAGGTTTGGGAGTCAGGCCTCCTCGAGGAGTTAAGCCCTCTGATCCCTGAGAGGGTGTTCTAGAGAAGTGTGGTTGGTCATTAGTTTTTTTCTGAAAGAGCTCTACTTAAAAAAGTCTGAATGCTGGGAAAAAGTTCATAAACACATTTAATCTGGAGTTTTTTTTCTTGGGAGGCAGTGAAACTGTAAAGCGCAATTACAGGAATCCTAAAAATAAATTGTTTAAACCTGTCAAGGTGTAACCAAGGTCTTGTCAAGCTGAAATTTAGGCACATCATTATGTAAGAGAAGCTTCAGGAACTACACCAACACAAACTCCCACTGTTGCTTTTGAGAGAGGAGATTATCCAGGCATCAGGCATTATTCTGGGATACAGTAATCAGCATTGAATTGCAAGCTCTGATTTCCCTAGCACCTGGGAAAATCATTCACTCTGAAATCATATGGCCCAACAGCTGTCCCACCTGACAACTGAGTGAACCATCCTGAAGATGCCTCTGCTTTCACTGACTACTGAAGACATAATTACGTTATAATTACTTCCAAGCATCTATGGTTGGGCAAAACCAATTAAGTCTTAGATTTTGTGGGTCTCAGTTGCTTCTCCTCTAGACTGTGAAGGAATATTGCTCTCTATCCCAATGATCTACTGCATGAATGAGGTGCCACTTCATGGATTGAATAACTTTTCTCTCTGCTCAAGGACTTGGATTTCCCCACTGTTAGAGCGTTCTGCAAGCAAGCCAAATTGATACACAGGTACCATATATACATGTGCAAATCTGAACTTCAGAAGGTTAAAAAAACCACAAACGAAAATTTCAAATAACAAAATTAGAGTACCTCTACTTTTTAAAATATAAAATAACCCACATTAACAGCCAGATCACTCCAGGCCAAGTTCTACATTCATTTTGCACCACATTGACACCAACAGATCTTTAAAAAAAAGTACTCATTGCTGTAGCTGCTCTTTTAATTAAACACAGCTTCTAAACAAAATAAAGCTGCTTTGGAAAAGCTGCCATAAAGGTCCTTTTTATTTCATTCTCCACTTTTCCTACTAACATGATACAAGTAAAATTAGAACCTAAGTGGAAAAACCTGACACACAAAATGTACCGATTGTAACATGTTTTAGCTGTATGGTATTTGGCATTTGTGGGATATGTATTTGTTCACTCTAAGAGTTAAACCAGCAATTCTGTACTATTTAGATTGGCAATAAAAGAAATATTTTACTTTGGATATATATGGCTTATAAAATATTTACTCCAGCTTTTCAAAAATTCAATGTGGGTTTGGCTAAGGGACCTCCCACATCTTTGACTCCAAGGTAATACTTTGGAAAGGCCAGGATCCACATACAGAATGACACTCCAGCTTACTATTTATACTCCTGCATTACCCTAGAATAATTTATATTGCTCCAGACCACAGAAGGTCACATTTTGGATCAAAGCTCTAGTGAGCCATACACTATATGAATACAGATGAAAAGGATGTAGCTGAGCCTTCTAAAGACACAGACAAGGAGAAATTTGTACAATAAAAGCTTGAAATAAAAAAGGAGTTAAAATTTGTTTTGAAGCTCTAATCATGAGATACTATTTAACACATTAAAACTGCCCTGTCCACCCATCTCCAAAAAGATATATGCCCACCCAAGCTCTGCCCACCCTTCAGAAAAGAAGTCTGTTTACCTGAAAGGCGTGGAAAGCACAGTATTTGGAGTCTGAACAACCTGTTTCTGCGGTGTTACCCCCGAAAAGTCACTTTCATGCAAGGGAGTATTAAGACCTCCTTTCAGGGGGGTATCCACATTCGTGAGAGCCATCAGATTCTGGGCCTCCTGTGCAACAGACAACACAAGCAGGGCTTCAACAAGACATTCACAGTCAGGTTTAATAGATTCAGTAGCAGTAAGAACAGTTTAAGAGTTATTTGAAAACCAATTTGTGGAAAATGTTTAAAATTTCTTAACTTTAAGACCTATACACTGGTATTTATAAACCCTACCGTTCCACTGAGAGAGATGTGAATATTCATTTCCAGTAAAATACATTATAAATTAGAGTTGCAGAAATGAGTGGGTTTCTTATTGTTTCAGCTTCCTTCAGTTTGCCAGACTCCATAAATCTGCAAGATTTGTTAGCAATTGAACTCTCAAGCAATCATAAGGATCCTGATTTTAAGAAGTACACTTGCAGCACTAAGAAATCCAAACTCAATAACATTTATCCAAGCTGCATTTCAAAGATCATGTTCCAAAAGAGATGGTTACTATTGAGATTTTAGGTCCATGACTCAATTGAGGCTTTTATGAACAGCCTCATTTTTTCATTTTTCCTTATTACAATGAAGAATTAAGTCTCTCTGAAAATGAGCTAATTCTAATACTGTAAATAGCAAATATATTCCCAGAAGATCACTAATCCATCTAGAAAACTCTGTAGGTGCATAATACTGTGCTATTTATAATGTCAGAATACTCCATTTKAATGTGAACATGACCATTCCTGCAAATACTGCACAGACTTAGGTCATGATTTGCAGAGCCAGGAACCTTCTCTTTTCTCCTGCTGTGGAATTGTTGAAATACAGCTCATTGTCAACTCAGCTTTTTGTTGTTTTGGAGCAGGATTTTCAAGGTCTTGTTTTGTCTTACACACAAACTGAACTGATTTAATCCACCCATTTCCACAACTCAACAAAATATTACTCAACATTACCAGTTTTTTAAAAAATCCAGGCAATCACAGATTGCAAAGGAAGGTTTTGGCTAACCTAAATTTTAAGCCAGTAAAGTGCTAGGAAAATATTCTTACACWGTTGGAGTTAATTACTACTTGTTAACTGAAATAAAAGCTGGACAATGTAAAATATACTGTTTTGAGGAGACAAATTCTTGTATCTTTAACACTGACACCCAACAGAAGGGGAAATTCAGGCAAGACACCAGGAGAATGGTTAAAAGCTTCACACAATATGTCACYTAAAGAAAAAGAATAGGAATGCTTTGAAACACAATGACAATTGATAGATAYGCTTCTGTGTCATTCCGTGTGTCCTGGAGATTGGGTGACAGTACAAATCCCAATACTGCACGTAATCTAAACAGTGTTTCTTTGGGATTTACACCTTCTACTCAGTTGACCCTGCACGAAAAAAAAAAAATCCATTCTGTAGATTTATACTCTACCTGCAATATCCTGTCTTGGGCTGCTGGAGTTTTGGGAGTCCTTAGTGCTATGCTGTTGTTGGTTACATTATACTCAGAGAGAAGAGTGCTGGAAGCTGAGTTTGTGATTCCAGATTCCTCAGCAGTCTGCCGTGCAATCTCACTTGCCTGGCCAACTTTCACAACTTCTTCAAGTTCTGTATCAGATATCTTTAAATGAGAAAATCCCAAGGCACAATAAGATACAATACAGCTACAAGACTCACTCAATAAAACAGAAAGCACTATTTGGCATTAGCCTTATAAGCTGTTTATTATAAAAGAACACCTCACCTGAGGTGCTGGAAGCACCAGTTTACTCCTTTTTTTGGTAAATTCTGACACTCCACTGGTCTGCAGAATTGCTGAGGGCAAATCTGACTCTTTTTTCCGTTTCATATGTTGCTTGTCCTTTTTGCGCTCTCTTCCCTCCCTCTCACTGTAACAGAAAACAGAATCATTTCAGAACACACAGAGCAGTTACAAAGCAAAGCAAACAAGCCAAGAGCAAAAAGGTTTTACCCTTATCAAAAGCTGSATATGCAGAAATAGAACACTGCAGGAAGAGTGAAGCACCTTGTGGGTGATTAGATGTGATCTGCAGATGTTGCAGCAGAACTTACTACATGGAAGTGTAATGCTTCTGAATTATGGAATTAGCCAACAGATTCAGGTTCTAGGCTGAATAGCTACAATCAACAGGGTCACTGGATCAATCAAAATATGTCAGGCCAAGAATATAGATAGTAAAAATAAGATAATGTGAACAGTCCCTTTTTCTCCAGCAGCTGCTAAGCGAAGATGAACATTTTCTTTGGGAAGTGAGAACCAATTTCTTTTCAGTCTTTAATAAAATACATTTTCTTCAAGCAGCAATGGAGGCAGTCAATGAAATTATAAGCTTCAGTTTGAAGCTCCTGCTTGACCCTCTGAACAAAGAACCGTACAGAAAAATCTGTTAGAACACAAGTTAATGAATCAAACTGTACATGGCAATGGACTGACATGCTCAGTGAAAAGCAGTTTTGGCAGAAATAGTGSGAAATGCAACTGTGCAATTAAATTGGCATTTAACTTCTCAACTGTGTTTCTGGGGATTTTACGGGGAGATGAGGAGAAATTAAGTAGTTAAAGACATGAACCTAGGAACAATTCCATCAAAAACAATTCCATACTACAAGTAAAACGTACTCCCGTAAGCAATCTTAATAAGGTTATTACTTGAAAAAAGGACTGTAAATACACAAGAAAATGAACTGCTAAAAGGAAACAAACCTCAAAAAAATTAACATTTCAACTYAAAGGCATGAACACGCATGAGGAACTTTATTTTGACAGAGAAAAGGTGAACTAGAGGAAAGGAAAAATGTGATCATAGATAAAAGGTGAACTAGACCTTTTAGAAAGATAAAAATATTGAAATACTTTCAGAAAACTGAAAAGGCAGAAGCCACTTGCACTTRTATCTGTCCCATGGAAAATACATTTCCTGCCCATATCATATTTCCAGGACTTAACACACCAACCCTAGGTTGGGGTTTTTTTCAAATACACTGTTCCCTCCTTATTACAACAYACACTTACGATCTCAATTCTCCATCCAGGTCTTGCTGACGTAGTCTCCTGAAATCTGCATCCAGGGACTGGTAGTTTTCTTCTGATGTATCATAAAAACCAGGGGCAGGCTTCTTTTCAAATGGAATTTCTGCATTGTAATCCACACCTCTCTTCTTTTTTCTTTTCTTTTGGATCTCAATTCCAGCAGCGCGAAGTTCTCGTCTTTTCTGAAGTGCAGCAAGACGCCTGAAGAAACAGTAACAATACATGATTTAAAGTGCAGAGTAAAGAAAAGCAGTGCCAGGATATGAAACCAAACAAAAAGTTTACCGAGCTTCTTCCAGCTGCTTCTCCCTGGCTTTCCTCTTGGCCTTCTTTCCCTGTGTATTCGCCAGACGTGCTCGAGCCTCAGACAGCATTTCAAGCTCATCTGTAACAGCACAGATAAATATAGCTATGAATTTGGACTTAAAAGATGGGAGTAAGGAAAAAGCTGACATTAAGATCACAAARCCATCTTTAGAAGCTGAATGAATCMGCATTTTTTTCTCAGGCACTCTTGTGTCATCACTAAGCCAGTTTTCTCCATGTAGTCCCAATGTATTTATTGAATGATTGGCCAGATGAAATGAAGACTTTTAGAAAAAGAAGCCTWATGTTGGAAATAATTCAATAAGTATCTACAGCAAACCAAAATGTKTCCATAAAGAGGAAAACTGATCACATTAATGGAAGTAAAACTTCATTTACATCTTTATCTGAGAKTATTATCTTGAGAACTTGTTAAYTGCATTTASATCCAGAACCAACAGTGCTGTATTGAGAACCTGTGACTGTTCAAAACCACTACTGGTCTATTCATGGAATTCTAGCAATGTTCATTTTTCAGTTCATAACACTGCATTGTGCAAGAAAAAAAAAAGAAGTCAGGCAGTTCCTCTATGTTTCAGCATGGATTCATCTGAGAGGTGTGAGTTGATGGAAAATGATGAAGATACAGCATGAAGAGTGCAAACAAGAAGTGCAGTGTCAAAGCATAGAACAGCCAGTTATAGCAAGAGATGAAGATGACAGGTAAGGAGGCTAAAAACACACCAGGAAAAGGAAACCTGGAAAAGTATAACTGATTGGCYAGATAGAGAAATAAGACAAAATTGKTAAGAAAAYTAATGACCAGGRGCTGGTAGAAAAAAGAAGAAAACCAAAGTAAAATGGCTGTGTAAACAGAAAAATCAAACAGATCAGATTTCTGTCAAAAATGATAAACAAACTCCTGACTCACCTTCATCCATGTCAATGGGATCTGGCCTGGCAGGTTTCGTTTCTGGATTTGGATCGATTTCTCCAGGTTTCAATTTCCGAGGATCATCAGCAGTTTCTTCCTCATTGTCCCTCTGAGCAGCCTTGTCCCTAAAAACACATTGTAGGTGTCACCACCAGCTCTTTATTTTCCCTCAGACTCATTAATAACCAACCCTTAAATGTCTCCAAAGACTGATCACAAAACAGTAACCTTGTACTTTKTATAATGCATTAAATTTGTTATACATTTCACAAGCGTGGTACTGTTCCATAACCTTAAACAAGACAAGAGAAAGAAACCAACACATTACAACAATAAAATATTACATAAAATATAATACTGATACAGCTAGTGGTAATCTCCTCAGGTAATCTTTAACAATAAAGAAGAATTCACCAGTGTGACAAAATAAAAAATCAAGTTTTCCATTATGTTTTTCTATTCAACCAATCACACCAAAATTAAGAAAGCTCACAAGGGAAAACACCACATTCCTTCTCTTCTCATGGCCTAGAGAAACTCTTTGTAGCACAGAGAGTTGGTAGCTGCACATTCAGCCATTTCAACATGTGTTTTACGTCTCTTTTCTCTCCCACACACCCACTCCTAATGATCAGCCAGTCAAAAAATGCCTGAACAGCCTAATAAAAGCATAAACTTTAGCCAGAATGACCAGGAGCAAGAAAASATACACCTATCTCTATTCAAGCTGCCCTGCAGCTTCCAGGAGCTTCTTTCAAGCTAGACACAGCAACTGAAAACAATCCTTAAAGATWTGCTTACAAAAGGACTCAGTCAACTTGAAACCACCATAATTTAACACCATGGGAGAAGTTTGTTGCTGTAACAAATTCCACAGATGTCACTGGTATTCCTGGCTAGATTTTCCTCTAGGCAAGCAGAAACTCACAGCAGAAACTCATAGTGTTCCAAGCACTGTGCAGCAGTTCTCCCAATGATGGGGGCAATGGTTCTCCACTGGGTTGGCATCAGTTTGGCCAGGTGCAASAGTTTCTCCTCCTCCTCCCGTGACCACTCGGTCTTTTTGATGCTCGGGTCCAGCCATTCGTACCTATGAAAAAATTAGGGATGAGAGAACCCAGTTATCCACTGATTTGTCTTCAAGAGTGTTTTTATGATAYATGCATTTGAGCTTTAAAATGTATTATTTATCCAGCACCTTTCACACTGATACTGCTTTTCCTTCCTTTACCCATCTCTATTCTGGCAAAGTAAAGAGTTACTAAATTAATCCTGAAAAAGAAAAGTAAAAATTGCAACAATAAAAGATACCAGGAATGGTAGAGCTGTTTTGTSTGGAGCCTTCAGCAATTATTTTATTACTCCTCAACTGTGACAGTACTGTTACCTCCAGAAGTATTCTATTAAATACGTGCAGTTCAAAACTCCAGAAACTAAGCCTGATTCTCAACATTCATTCAYACTGCATCAGTATTTGTGCCAGTTTAAAGCTTCTATTTTTTATAAAAAAAAATTAATTTCACAGTGAAATTTCTAAACATTTACTCTCAAGCCAAACTCCCACTGTGAGAAATTGGAAAACTTTATGTAAGGGAGATTGATATTTTACAATTTTATTTCCTYGAAAATACCTGCCAATTAAAAATGTTTAAATACAGGAAGAATAAGGTGGATAACTTTAGGTAATCCTGCATTTACTCACACTGCAGTCACTGCCAAATACATGATCTGGCTATTTTTGTTCAACTACTTTCAAACAAAAAGAATTTAAAATTTCCASAGTAAAAATCAAACAATGTTAAAACTGCTATTGCTCTGTGGASATAAATTAGTCTTTGGTAACATTTCTTCCCTAAATTTCCACTAATCATGAACTTCATATTCTCAGACACAGCACCTCTCACTTACCATCTGGCTTTGCACTGCTTTGCTGATTTCCTATGCAATAACGAGGCAATACGAGACCACTGGTTTTTGCCATATTTCATAACAGCTGCTTTCAGAATTTCATCCTTAAAAAAAAMAAAAAAAAAAGACCCTTATGGACTGCAAAACAGAAAGTCTAAGCTTAAGCAAAGGAGAACACAGTGCATTTCATTTAATAGACTGACCCAGTGAAAAAAAGACAGCACTGCTACCTCTTTTCCATTTCATTCTCAGAGATGAATGAGGGTTTGCATTTCAAATTCCAATGAAGTCAAGAAAGATTAAATGAAAAAGAGACATGATTATTGCTCCAAAGTTCAYATATCCAACAGAACTCCAAAATGATTATTTTCAATGCTCTCTAATCTACTAGTGTTTAAAGRCTCTGTAAGTCTCCCTTGAAGGACAGTAGAGTGGTAGGGAAGTGTTTGGTAATGAAATCACAGCTGGAAAAAAAAAGTTGAACTGGAGGTACCTCTGGCTGCCTTGTTTTAAATAATACCATCAAATTACCTTTTTTAAAATTTTAATGMAATTAGAATAAAAATGTAATAGTTTCAGCTTGTGAGCCAGGCTGTTCACGTACAACAAAGTGTGCACTGAGACTTGATCAAAAGCCAGAAGTGCTATAAATYATCTGTCAAACCATCCATCAATCCCTCTCTCCCTTCCTCCCAGATAACTGAGCTCATCACTTCTCGTTTATTCAGAGAAAGTGGTATTTTAGATACATTAAAGCTGTTGCAGCCCTGTCAACCACCAATGTCCCTCTCCTGTACCCAGTGTTCAGTGAGTCTGACACTGTCTCACACAGACATCRCTCAGAACACAGCAGCTTTAACTGTGATCTGATGAACAGCTCTGGTTGGAGCTGCTACAGGCAACAATTCATGTAATTASTGYTCTGAAATAAATAATAAATYCTCACTTGTGTGGTTTTTTTACCTTACTTGGTGCTATATGGAACACAGGAGCRGTACCAGTGACAATAACAGGCTTTTTTTGCAAATAACTGATTATTTTATGAATGACCTGATACTGCCTGGTTCCACATTCTCTGCTTTAATGTTGTGTCAGCAAAATGTTAATAAAAAACCCCAATGCCTRTTTCATCTCCAGTACACAAAACCCAGTGATCTATCTGGGCACTGAACAGGYTCCCCAGGGCATGGGTCCCAGTCCCAAGCCTGCCAGAATTCAAGCAGCATTTGGAAAATGCTCTCAGGCACATTGGTGGGATTCTTGGGGATGTTCTGTGCAGTCAGGAGTTGGGCTCAGTGATACCTGTAGATTCCTTCCAACTCAGGATATTCTGTGATTCTAYTTAATGCACTGCTCTAYCTCTTTAACAGTCACCAGAATTAATCAATTATGGAAGACCCTAAGAATGGGGTGAAGACAATATGAGTTTTCCTGTTTAAAAGCACACACACCATACTTTATCTTCTGTTWKTTTTTCCTCACTAGTTCCTGGAACMATGTAGATGGCTGCTGTTCACAGCATGCAGTGACAAAGTTCTGGATTTTGCAGTGCCAGGTACATCCTTTTGCTTTAAACAAGCMTCTAATAAAACTRACATCCTTGATTTCTCATGTTATTRTTTTCTTTTTCATGACCAMTTGCAGTTCTGAAAGCTTGTGACAGCAAAATTGGAGGGGATTGCTCATTTTCGGAACAACAGTTTCTGTGTAAWGAAGTCTAGGGGCTGCAGATGAAGAGCCCACACACACTGACAAGAAAGAGACTGAAGTTGCCCCAGAGGTTTAGATTAGTTATTAGGAATTTTTCACGGAAAAGTTGTAAAGCATTGGAACAGACTGCCCAGGGCAGTAGTGGAGTCACTATTCCTAAAAGTGTTAAAAAAAACCACTGTGGATATGGCACAAAAGGACATGGTTAAATGGTGAACATGGTAGTGGTGCTGTGTGGATGGCTGGACACTTGGTGATCTTAAGTCTTTTCCAATCYYAAAAATTCTATGRCTCTGCCATTTCCACATTTGGAAAGATTTTCAAGTGCCAGAGATTCCYGCTGCCTCATTCTCCTGGAGCATAAGAAACCTGCCTATGCAGTACAAATCACACTCCAGCCTGTGAGAGGATCATCTCCAAGCACAGCACAACCCATGCTTCCACTCCAGCGGCAGTGGGACTGGTTTCTCTGAGGCAGAAGGACAGCACACACACATGGCTGAGCTTCCCAATGTGCAGCCTGAGGGAAAAACAACACCAACAGTGACMTTTGCTCGCTGAGGCAGCGGGAGGGAGGAAGGCACAGGCTGCTGGGRAATGCAGCCCAACAGAGAGCCAAGGAATGGCAGAATCAATTAGGTTGGAAAAGGCCTCTCAAATAATTTGAGTTAAACCTATGTCTGATCACCACCACCGTGTCAGGGAGACCATAACCCTCAGTGCCATATCCAGTGTTTCCGTAAACACCTCCAGGGACAGTGACTCTACATCTCCTCTCTGGGCAGCCTGTTCCAACATTTAATCACCCTTTTCTGTGAGAAAATTCTTCCTAATGTCCAAYCTAAACCTCTCCTAGCAGTTAGCAGACACTTCCTCTTGTCCTATCTTTGTTCCCTGGGAGCAGAGCCCGACCCCGACCTGGCTGCACCCTCCAGCCAAGGAAGTTGTATAGAGTGAGAAGGTCCCCCCTGAGCCTCCTTTCCTCCAGGCTGAGCCCCCCCASATCACTCAGCCGCTCCGCATCAGGCTTGCGCTGCGGACCCTTCCCCAGCTGCCCTGGCTTTCCTTGCACTCGCTCCTGCAGACCCCAA